AGGGTCTTGGCTTGAGTACCGTATCAGTGTCATATAGATTCAGATTTCAGATGATGGATTAATGAAGGTGCATTATTCAAATTTGATAACATTTTCCTTTGGTAGAGTTAATTTTAATTTTTTGCATCTGCGCAGTCGACTTCTCACAAAACAAAAGTAATCTAGCCGAGTTAATTTTGATGTTAAAAGGATAACCCATCACAGTTTGTGTTCTTCAAAAACAAAAATAAAATCAAAACAAGAAAAAATCAATAATTTATAATTCTAATTTCAAAAACACAGTAAATATATTAACCAAAGCAATGAATATAAGCATCATCATCACATTAACAAACATAGCACTCGCTTTTGATTCATCATGTAAAAATAAGCTACAAATTGCATTATGGGAAATAAAGTGAAAGTACAAGAAAGAAGCCTTCTAACACCACAACCCAATGAAGTTCTTGTTAGATTAGCAACGGAGAGATGCAGATTGCAGGAGAAAAAGAATGGGAAACAAAGGTTCTGTATTGAATGTGATGAATCAAAATGAACTCCAGTACACTGTTCTATCTATATAGAATACAAACTGTTAGTTAATTAGGAGGGAAACTAACTAAAGAATTGGTTATAGATCGAATTGGTAGTGCCATTATCTGTTGACACCCCGCAAGCTGGAATATACAAGCAGTGTAGACCTAGCTTGGAGATGAAGTAACAAAATGTACTGGTAGCCAGAGGTTTGGTGAATACATCAGCTAACTGATTGGTGGTGGTGACATGCAGTAGCTTGAGTACTTGCTTCTGTAGTTTCTCCCTTTACAAGATGACAGTCTATCTCAATGTGTTTTGTTCTCTCATGGAATATTGGATTTTCAGCTATTGCAATTGTAGATTTAATTTACTATCACAGTATAGCATGGCTGGAGAATCAATGTTCACCTTCAGGTCTTGTAGAAGATAGATCAGCCATTGAATTTCACATGTTGTTGCTGCAAGAGCCCTGTATTCAGCTTCAGAGGAACTTCTGGATATGGTGTGTTGCTTTTTTTTTTTTTTTTTTTTTTTTTTTTTAAATTTTATTTCCAAGATATCAAGGTGGTATCTAGGAACATGCAAAAACTAGTGACAGCCCTCCTGGTATCTGGACAAGCAGCCCAATCAGTTGTGAACGAAGCTTTTGATCTGCAAGGATGAAGCTGCAGAGAGAAAAAAGCCCTTGACCAGGAGCTGCCTTAACATATCTTAAAGGAGCAGAGAGAAAAAACCCCAGTGGGCAAGTTTCGCATTCAAAACCCCGAGGGGCAGATTACATTCAAAAAGGAGCGAAAAGAGAGAGAAAGTGGACGACTAGTCTAGGCTAAGTTCATATATCCCTGCCCAGTTGAAGTGTTCTCTTGGCCCGCTCGAACTTCGGTTTGAGGATGTTGCGAAGACATGTAGGCGCTCTCTTGATCGTAATAAGGACCACATCGCGGTCTTGTTCAAGCTTAAATTTGCTTCGTAGATATACCGAGAAGTTTCTGGAAATCGAAATCCCCCACTAATAGGTACTACATCTGCGAAGAGGATGTCGACTTCGTATGGGTTCGCACAGCTGATTTTTCAGAGGCGAAGTCTGCTGGATATTCACCATCCCTTTGATGGGCAAAGGAGATGAATTTTCACTTGCTCCACTGGTGAGGTGCCCATCAGATTCTACACTAGCATGAGGGATACTTTTTTTTTAGCTTAACTCGCTCGTATATACTCGAAAGATCAGCCTTGCTGCAGTCGTTCCTTTTTAGCAGGTTGCATTCTTTATACAGCAGTGGCTGTACCAAGCCCGGGGAGACTTGGCCTACCTGCGTAAGCTGGAAAAGCTACTGAAATAAGGGCAGGGTAGCCTCCACCCTAAGGCGATAACAGTAGGCGAGGAAGGCGGCCGGTGAATAGCAAGAATTGGGTGTCCGCTAATCGGGCATTATCCCGTAGTGTTGGAGAAAGAAGGTAAAAGGAAGGGGTGAGCCCGGGAAGAGAAGTTTAGGGAACGTGAAGAGAAAAGTATAAGGAGGAAGAATAGTATTTATAAGGTTGGACGGGCGATGAGATCGTGACGCGAGTCTCAGATCGGACGGATAGGGGTCGCCGATGTTACATTTGAGGTGAAGATTATGAAGAGACCCGCTTTAAAAATGTAACCGGCGGAATTAGCGGAAGGAGTCATGATTAAGTCTATCGCGACTGTACCGCTCCGCAAAACCAGTCAGGAACAGCGGGACCAGTCGGAAATAGCGAAATCAGCTGGGAACTCGCTCGAATTTCCGACGAACCAGGGCAAACCAAGAAGCCAGGCGGCCATGGTGCTTGGGAACTGGTGTTCTTTTCTCTTTTTTACTTTTTCAGGTTAAGCTAAAACCTAAAATAGTGAGGGACTGGTGATAGATATCCCAATTTAACCGCCTGGACGGGAAGCCAGACTAGGCAGCCAGACCTACAGATGATGCATTACTTGATAGGAGGAAGATCCCTGGAGACCACCCGGACACGGTACAAGACGCCCCATAGTGGCAGCGGCTCACCTCCTAGCAGCCGGCCCACCATTAAGCGCGTCCCCGACTAGTTACGGTGGTCGGCGTGTCCCTGACTGAACACCCCCACAAGGTTCGGTTGGGCGACCAGGCCACACGGGGGGTATGTCCCTGGCCGCCCGCCCTTTCCATGACCTGGCCGGGCGACCAGGCTTTGCGGGCAGAATGCCAATGTCTAGGGCCAAACACCTAGAAAGGCGCCCCCATGTAGCAGGAACCATTCCTGACCGGGTGCACACCCAGAGACGCGTATCAGCGGATTCTGCGGAAGCAATCTCCACTCATTTAAGAAGTTTCCTAAGTTAATTTAGGCGGAAAAGGCAAGTAGTTGGCGGTTGCATCAGCCCTAACGTCAGCCTTATTCCCCTTCTAGGTTAGGCCTTGCGTCAACCCTACATACCATATGTGAACTCCACATCAATGTATAAATATCCCTTGGATCATCATGTAAAGGACTTTTGGTCGGAATTTTGAGGGCAACGCCCTAGAGAAATAATATCACATTATTCTTTCTCTATTACTTTATCTTTGCTCTCACTATCTCACAAAAACATCTCTATTCTCTTTTCGGTAGTGTTGGCCTGCCGAGCAGCCATCGAGGTTGTACAAACCAACAACTTAGTACATTTCTATTTTAAAGTTTTATTATTGTTATTCATTATAACTTTATGAGTTTTGGTATTTCATCTATAAAATAGAGAAGTAACAACCTTCTTCTCTAAAATTTTCCTCTTTAACTATGGTACGTCGTCCTTATTTTCCCTACTTGAACCGGTTAAAATCAAATTTTTTTACTTTACAGAAAAAATATTGAGAATAAACAAAAATTATAATTAATGAAGAAACATTAAAAACTACTAAACCACACATGTACTAAGTAAAATTTTAATAGAGTTTTAATATTTTTGTTGCTCCAAGGTAGGGCTGTAAACGAATTAAACACAAACGAGTAGAGCTTGTTCATGTTTGTTTGTTAAGATTTGTAGAGTGTCGTGTTCGTGTTCCTTTGTTAAAGTTTTTGAAAATCATGTTTTTTGTTCGTTTGTTAATCGTTTGTTAGTGTTTATTAACGTTCGCGAACATGTTCATTTGTTTGGTCAACTAAATGTGTTTGTGATGAACAACTAAGCAACTTTGTTCACAGATGCTAAACAAACAAACACTTGTACATGTTCATGATCATAATTTGTTTGTGAACGAGAAATAGTCTTTGTTCACAAACAATAAACAAACAAATTAACAACATAACAACTATAAAAATAATACAAATAAGTCCAAAAGTAACAATTGTAACATCTAATATCAAAGTTAAAAAAAAAACGAGTTTGTTAATGAATATTATTAAACGAAAAATAAACGATATTGTTCACGAACTCTTAGCAAACGAGCATACAAATATTCATACTCTATTCGTTTGTTAAAAACACTAAAATTTGTCCATTTATGTCCGTTTACCTTAATAAGCGAACATAAATGTATGCTTACCGAACACGAACTCAAGTAATTTACCGAAAGCTCGTTGCTTATACTCCTACTCCATGGGTTAAAACTCTAACTCTTTTGAAGAGTTAAGGGTGTATATTATACTTACAAAAAGTTAGAGACCAAACAACTAGTAAAGAATAATTGAGGGACTAATAGTATATTTTGTCTGAGTGTAAAAGACAATTTTGGTCCTAGACTTATAGTAGCACGCACAATTTTAGTCCTCCATAAAAAAATATATCAGACAATTTGTGGACACTCTTATTGTGATGATGACAATTTTGATCCTCCGTCTATATTTCTGTTAGATGGCTGTCTGAGAGGAGGACAATTGTGTCGATTCACTCTATCTTCTTCTCCCCCAACATTCAATTCTCTGTAAGTTCAACTTAATTTTTTATCCCACTCATTTTGTTTCTATCCTAGAACAACAGTGTTCACTACCACCAGAAATTGACTGAAGGAGGCGGACGAATATAATCTCAACACCTTCCGGATCATCTTCCGCCAGACGATGAAGTCTCCACAACTCTCACTGGCATTTTAAGCTCTGCCTAACCACCGTAAGATATGGGTGAATTTTCCCTTTGCTGGAGCTACTGCACATTTTTTTTTTTTTTTTGGACAAAACTTTGGTAGAGAATTACACTAAAAGTGAGGTAATGATAGGTGAACAATTTTAAAATCTTCAAAAGGCAACACTGCAGATTACATGTCAAATTGCCTTTTGGCAGATTCAATTTTATGTAACTTGTTTTCATTCTTCAAAATTTTTTCCTTCAATTACTTAATTTTAACTTCAGCTTTGGCAATGGTCGTCTTCTTACGGACATTCTTTGACCTTTTTCATTTGCAGTCCCTAAACCTTTGTATGAATGTCAGCCGTAGATGGTTTCGGAACAGCGGACTAAGAAGTATCCATGTCTTGAGCTCTCGTGGCATTCTGACCAAATAACCTCAAAATTTTAGTGCAAGCATTAATACTGAAATTTCATTTTAAAAAATTAAGTTGAACTTACAGAGAATTGAAGGTTGGAGAAAAAGATAGAGTGAATTAACGCAATTGCCCTCCACGACCAAAGATAGAGTGAATTAACGCAATTGCCCTCCACGACCATTTAACAGAAATATAGACAGAGGATCAAAATTGTCCTCGTCACAATAAAAAAAATTTGATAGATTCCACATTACAATTAATAAGAGATTGTTGATATACATGTGCGAAGTGAAGTGATATATATATAGCTTAGTCGTCACCCGACCTGTCCTGGTTAATTTCCTCAAGAATTACAACCAAAGCCACTATGAAGGCATAATCAACGTTGGGATAAACTGTGACCCCGAAATGTTCTTTCCCTAGAAATATGCTCCCTGCCGTGTGCTTCTTGTGCATCTGGGCAACAATGGCCGACGACGACTCTCCCGCGTATATCACACACGATCGTTCCCTCCAGCTCCCCATTATGTGGAAATCACACACCTCTTCTTTCGTGTTGCCCGCCAGGAACACATCCAGCTTCGTCTTCAGTTGAAACAGCGATGATTTCTTCACGCTGAACAGCAGATCTTTCGGATCTGTGCTCTCTCCCCTGAACGCTTCCCATCTTCTGTGAGCGGTCAATATCTTTTGTTGGAAAGTGACGATGGGGTTGTCGAGGGTGTCGACCAAGACGCGGCGATCGTGGAGGCTGAGGTGTTTGCTTTTGATCTTGAACATGACGGTGCCGTTGAGGTCGAGGATTTCGAACTTGCCTTCCTGGAGAGTCATCACCTTCCTCAACACCGCCAAATCCATCGGGTAGGGAACGATGAACTGTGGGCTGATCACTGGCGGCACCGGCACCGGCTGAGGTGGGTTCGAGGTGGAAACTTCGGTCATCATTGTGTGAATCCAAAGAGCGAGGTAGAGAGCTGAATTAGAATTGGGAATGATGTTGCGCCAATCCTTTTTGGGAAGAATTTATATATAAGAAACAAGGAGCGGGGTGATTATTTAACGTCGAGTCTATGATCAAAATTGTCTTTTACTCTTCTTCTCCAATATAATAATCTTATGAATCGGATAGCATTTAAGTTGACGCGTGGGGTCATGGTTGTTGTTTTGGTCCACGTTATTTTGGCCTTCAATAATTGTGAATGCAGTAGTTCTACGTCTTGGTCACGGCTTAAGAGCAACCACACCAATGCATAATGGGAGAATAATGTTAGAAATTTGTGCCATGTGGAAGAAAGAGAAGGAAGAAAGAGAAAAATGGAATCCTCCTTCAAATGTGGGGAGATTTCAGAAATGTGGGACCCACCACAATTTTTAACTAGGTGTGACAGCCATGCGTGGCTGTCACCTCTGCGCCCAGCTGCACGCGCCAGCTGGGCGCGTCAGGCGCGCCTGACATTCTTTATTTATTATTATTATTTTTTTAAAATTTAATTTTCCTTTTTTTTTTTCCTTTTTTTCTCTTCCCTCCCATTTTCTCTTTCCTAATCACTCTTACATTATCCCCTATTCTCCCTAACAAATGTGGATGCTCTAACTACTGGCCATACAAAATAAGAAATAAAGAAAATCATTTCATTTTGCACTCTAAAATCATTCATATCTCGTTTGAGCACTCCAATTCTTCACCGGTTAAGTTAACAACGTTTCGATCTGTACCAATAGCGGACGCTGTTGTAACGTTTCTACTTTACCAACTCTCACTGTTGATCATCGAAGTTTCGATCGCAATTCACAGTTTTCCTCTTTATTCACTTTATTTGAGGAAGAAAACTGCGAGAGATCGATCTTAGCGATATTTTTATTTATACTCAAATTGGAATCTTTATTTGAAAATGATGAAAATATCTCTAATAATTTTATATTTCAGTATTTCTTAAATAAAAGGATACTAAAGTGATAAATTTTGACATTAAAATAATAATTGTTGATGAAAATTGATAGTAAAATAATAATCATAAACAAAAATTAGTAAAAATAAAATATGTAAACCAAAATTGTTTATTTTATTAATATTCAAAGATATTTGCTTATTTATTTGCCGTCTAATATCGATGTGGACATTAATGGCTGTCATTTTTGTACACGTTATTATTGTGGGTGCCATTGATTGTATGTCAGAAATTGAGGTGTGACTCATTAGTCATTACTTTCATTTTGGTACATTTTGGCTGACACATTATTTTTGACCAATTCTAAGTTAGATATAGAATTGGATAAAAATAGAGTAAATGTAGTATTTTTCATTAACAATTGAGTAAATACTTTCATAGATGTTGAGAAAATTATTTTATGATTAAAAATCCTTCCTCATAACCAATATATCAAAATAAAAATTTTAAAAAAAAAACTACACAAATGCTATTTGCTAGTATACATACTTGGTTGTCGTTTCGGTCCACTTTGTTATTGTTGTGGGTGCCATTAATTCAGAAATTCAGTTGGAGTTGTAACTCGTTACTGTCATCTTGGTATATTTTGGCGTGTATTTGCACATGACAATAATTGTATGTCCTGGACAGGGCTTCACAATCATATAGAGATTTTTTTGTACACCAAATATGGTGTAACACTATCATTTACACCATTTTAGTGATGAATTTTTTAAAATTGTTTTGCTAATTGTTTCCATTTAATTTGGATATGAATGTACAAGTAAAAGAGTCCAAAATCATACATTAAAACTGGATTGACTTATAAGTGTTTGAATAATGCACAACATGATAGAATAATAGAATATCCTCACACAACCCCCAATGACCCCTTGAAGTCGAATTTTTAAGACAGATCTAGGCATGACCACGATTTCGATTTCGATTCCAATTCGAAATCGCCGATTTCGATTTCAAAAATGAACAAATCAGAACCGAAACCTTAATATAAAGTTTCGATTCTGGTTCTTGAACCGACAATTCCGATTAAAACCGCCGGTCCTAACCATAATTTCTATTTTTTTTAAATAATCATAAGTATGTTGTTTGTTGGTGTTACACGCCCAACAAAACCTGGCGCAAAGGCCAAGGCCAGGCCAACTTGAGAAAGTGGCCAGTAGGCCACCGGCCTAGTGGCCTACTGGCCATTTTATTTTGTTGGTTTCTATATGAAACCAACAAAATAAAATGGCCAGTAGGCCAGTAGGCCACCGGCCTAGTGGTCTACTGGCCATTTTATTTTGTTGGTTTCAATATGAAACCAACAAAATAAAATGGCCAGTAGGCCACTAGGCCAGTGGCCTACTGGCCAATAAAATGGTCCTTGAATTTTTATTATTATTTTTTTAAATTTCACGGTTTCAAACCGTAACCGTCTAACTCTGAACCGGAATAGGCGGTTCCAATTTTTTTATTAGGAAAATCTTAATCGGAATCTTATTGGTTCCGGTTAAGAATTGGAATTGGAACTGTACAAACGGTTTGGTTTCAGTTTCGGTTAGCACAGTAATAATTACGGTTCAAACTTTCGGTTCGAATCGAACCGTGGTTACCCCTAAACAGATCTTATTAGGTCAAACCTATCTTATTGATAAATGCATGTATTGTCTACCTTGACAAATCAGTAATTAGTTTTACTAACAAATTTATTTTCTGTTTTCAAAAAATAAATAAATAAACAAATTTATTTTCTTGTCATTAACTCTCATTTTGCACTCCCTATGACATGACATGTCTTGATTGTTTAATCTAGTAGAGGGCCATAATGTTTATCCATTCTTTTTCTTTCTTCTTCCAATCAAATTTGAGCACAAAGGGGAGTACAAATTGAGAGTGATTTTGAGAGTACATCTAGTATTTTTGTTTCTTGAACTATTGATAATAGAGTTCTACTATACAAACTCCTAAATTTTACTCCCTTGCTTGTACTCTTTGATGAGCTGGCAAACAAGGATTGATTAATTTTTATCATTTAGGTCTAAGTATCTACATCAAGAACATGTTAAAAGAAGTAAAAATTAAGAATATATAATGAGAGTACGCTAAGTATTTTCTATTGATAATACGGAGTATATATTTAGCTGTCATTTTGGGCCACTTTGGTACTATTGCATGTGCCTGCCATTTATTGCATTTCAGAAATTTTGGTACACTTTGGTGTGTATTTTTTATGCATGCCAATAATTGTACGCCTTAGATAGAGCATCACAATGTAGATTTTTTTTAAAGTCATTTAATGATTAATGTGTGAGTACACTCATGGTTGTTGAACAGATTATCTTAGTTGTTGTTATTATTATATATATATATATATATATATATATATATATATATATATATATATATATAGGCTTCGAATCTGGTGCAACCCCTATACTAGATGAGATTATGAGATCTCATGATATTCATGATTCATTTTCTATAAAGGGTTGAGATTATAAGAAATTGTGAAAGTAATTAAGGATATATTTAATTCAAAGAGATTAAATAGTAATTGTAGATATATGTTTAATTATGGATATAATTCAATTAGAATCTTAAGCATTCTATTAGGGAGATTCTGAAATTTTAAATTATGGAAAATTTTACGGCGGTGTGTGCATGGGTGGGAATGGTGTGTGTGTTTTATAGTTTGCCATGGTGTATACCTCCTGTTACAGAAAACCGCACACGCCATTCCACATCCGCGCACACACCATCGTAAAATTTCCCACAATTAAAAAAAAAAACACACACACACACAACAAGCCCAATACTATATCTATGTTTCGCACACGCCCGAAACTAGTAAAACACAAACCAAAATGTACATACATGCCTGTATCACGAAACGCACATACCAAAACGCATAATTTTATGAAAAAAACTAGCACGTCATGGTGTACGAGCCATGTTACAGTAAAACGCACACACCATTCTACACACACGAACACACCGCCGTAAAATTCCAAAGAAAATTACTAAGAGAGAGAGAGAGAAATAATGATTAAGGAGAGCTGAAATAACGCTACAAATCTTTATAAACATGGAAATAAATGAAATGGAAAGTAATAAATATAGTGTTTAAGGACAAAAAGACCCATGTTTCATCTAAAATCAGTATAACATGGGATCCAAGTGATAATCAATCTGAATCGTTAAAAAATTAAAATCAACGATCAAGGAGTGTGCTCATGGGCTCGGCTAACTAGGGGGTTTGCACCGGATTCAAAAAAAAAAAAAAAAATATATATATATATATATATATATATATATATATATATATATATATATATATATATATGTATGTATATATAGGGAAGGGATCAGGTGCATTTGTTGCTTCCCGTGTGGATGTGCGGTGAATTAATGTGCGTGAGATTTGTATTCAATGTGCCTGAGATTTGTACTTAATGTGTGTATGTTAATATGCGTGAGTTTTGTACTTAATGTGTCTGAGTATTGTGTTTAATGTGCGTGAGATTTGTGATTAATGTGCGTGCGTATTTCAGAATTACGACTCAGAAGGAAGGAGAACAGAAACTCATGCACATTAAAGCCCAAACTTCTTGTTATTTCTTCCTTCAATTTGGCTATGGATTCTGGATTATCAGCTACCTTCAGTGCAGTTGAATGTTTATATAAATGACGCATGCACAGTAAAATTTGCACAGCAGCTAAGTGTGGATTTTTGTTGTATTATTCCCATAATTTTTAACCACCATAGCTCGCCTCCGCATCGTCATCATCAGAGAGGGGGGGCAAATTAAATGGCTGCTAGGGACGGGGAAGAAGCTGACATCAATATTTTCTGCTTCATTTTACACATTCATGAACATTAAGTACAAATCTCAGGCACATTAAACACAACACTCACGCACATTGAGTACAAATCTCACGCACATCCACCGCACATCCGCACGGGAAGCATTCAGCGCACGGCAACCTTTCACTATATATATATATATATATATATATATATATATATATATATAATAAACATAATAAGCTTCAATCCAGGTTATATCCCTGGTTTATGTTCATGTTTTCCGTTAATTTTTTTTGTACCTTGTGCTATAAAAGTTGTAATACATAATTTTTTGGACAAAAATATCCCTGCCGTTATAACTTCTGTTATCTTTCCACATTATTATTACCATGTACATGCCTACACAATATTTTTTCTTACATCCTTCGATGGTAAGTTTGAATTCATTTATATATATATATATATATATATATATATATATATATATATATATATATATATATATATATATATATATATATAGGGAAGGGTTCCCGTGCATTTACTCTTTCCCGTGAAAAATGAGGTTGAATCTAAGCCTCACGTAGCTCTTGATCAAACGAATCAGATTAACAGCAAAAGTTAAGCGCGAATTGCTCATTAAGGGCATGCATTTTGTCCTTTTGATTATATTAAAAAAAAATATGTTCTTCTTCTTCTTCGAGCGTTTTCAAAATTCACCATTGATTCCAAATCTTCGATATTTCCTAATCTCAGACGAATTTACGATCTCTACGGAATTGGCAATAAGATCTATTCTCTTCGTCGTTCAATATCATATTCGTCAAAATAAACCCTAAACCCTTCAAAAACGTCAACCGAACAACAGTGGAAGAATTCGATCGAGGTATTACCCAAATTCTATCGCTTTTCTGGAATTAATTTTATCTGCACTTGTATTGACATCATTCTTGTCTTAATTACACGCACATTAAGCACTACATGCATGCAACTTAACCACCGAATTACTGAGCTACTTTAATTAATCCGAGCTTAGAGCCTTACGCACGTAGATGATTAGGTAACCGCATGATAATTTTTAAAAATGCACATATTACTGTTTGCCTCACACATGTTATCCGTTGAGCACACGCACATTAATTCCTTTCTAGACGCATGTTATGTTACTGGACTCTCTGACGCACGTTAAGTAATGACATAGTATTTTAACAAACACTCACGCAAGTTAACTGTTCAACATGCGCACGTTAACTATTACCCTGAAGCACGTTAATTTCTCACTTGCCGCACATACTCTTGTATTTTATAAATCTGCCATATTAACAATGATCTGATTAACTTAACGCATATTAAGTGTTCACATTACGCACGTAGAGGTTTGCAACAACACAATCATAACTTCATGCTTATACGTTACAGTTCCCAGTGACTTTCAATCTACCAACAACCCCAGTTTGAGTCCCAGCAGCAGCAATGGTCATACATTGACCATATCTCCTGGAATGACACAGTATTGGACTCCTCACTGTGAAGATGAAATCAAACCAGCAGTAGACATGATTTTTAAAACATTGGATGCTGGTATTGAATTCTACAATCATTATGCTGCCAAAGTCGGGTTTGACACGAGGTCTAGTTCCGTCGTTACAGCACGTGACGGGACAAAAACTCAAAAGCAAATCATTTGCAATAGAGAAGGATTTAAGAATACAGGAGCTCAACATTGTCACTCGCAGTCAAGTGCAGATGCAGGGGAAGGTCCTTCCCGTCCAAAGCGGCGAAGGGTTTCAAACAGAACTGGCTGCAGAGCTAGGATTATATTTAAGTACATTGGAGCAGCTGGGTACCAAGTTACAACTTTTATTGAAAAACATAATCACAGCATGTCTTCGGTTCTGGCAAGGCAGTTTCTAAAGGGAAATAAAAACATCTCCAGTGTTCACCAGAAGTTTATACTCGACTGCGCTAAAGCAAATATTGGAGCATCAAAATCACACGGTTTATACAGTTATATTGTGGGGGATTACTCTGAAGTTGGGGCGACTGTAGTTGACTTTAAGAATGTTAGAAGGGATCTCAGAGCATACATATTGGGAGCTGATGCACAAATACTGGTGCATAATCTTATTAAGAAAGAAGAGATGTGCCCTGCATTTGCTTTTGACTACGAAGTTGATGAAGATGACCAGATGAGCAGACTATTTTGGGCAGATCCAATGTCAAAAAAGAATTTTGCTGCATTTGGAGATGTTGTCTCTTTTGATGCCACATACTCAACGAACAGGTATATATTATTCTATTCACATTCTTGCGTACGTTTCATTAATTAATCCACATTTAGCATTGCCTTATCTGTTGAGCCATGTTAAGATTTAGACATGTTCACTGTTTTATTGAAAAAGAGTTGAAATATAAATAAGCGCACATTTTCGTTTTATACCACACATCTTAAACACTACTGTCTCGCATATTAATGCGGAATATCCAGAATTAGACTTCAATTACATATGTGTGCTATTTTAATACTTAATGTGCGTTACTCTAATTCTCTAAGTGCGGCAGTTTGACACCTGTATACTGTGATGACACTTTTTATCTTGTAGGTACAATCTGGTTTTTACACCCTTCACCGGAGTTGATAACCATAAAAAATGTATAACATTCGGTGCTGGACTACTGTTGAAAGAAGACATTGAGTCTTATGTTTGGCCCTTTGAAAAATTTAAAAAGGCAATGGGTATAGAACCAAGAATAATTTTCACCGATCAAGATCCAGCTATGAAAGTGGCGATTCCAACAGTTTTCAAGCAAGTCAGGCATCGTTATTGCATGTGGCACATCATGTGTAAAGTTGGGGAAAAGGTGGGTCCTACGCTGAACAAGGATGAGGAATTCAGGAACAAACTGAACTCAATCGTTTGGACGTCATCTTTGGAACCTCTTGATTTTGAGAAGCAGTGGAGAGAGCTCATGGAAAAGTACAATAGTCGAACACAATTGGTTTACAACTATGTTTGAGGCTAGAAAGCATTGGATCCCAGCGTATTTTAGAGATGGCTTTATGGGGGGTCTACTCAGGATAACTTCTCGTTCCGAAAGTGAGAACTACACGTACTGCCGTTTTACTGGTCCCCAATCAAGCCTAGTTGAATTCATGACGAACTTTGACAGTGCTCTTAAATCACAACGTAACACAAATGCAAAGCTCAACAGTGACAATGAAGGCTACAATCCAGATATGAAGATGCCTCTGGGGATTGAAAAGCACGCTTCAATCGTCTACACCATTACTGTTTTCGATCAAGTTCAGGATGAAATATGTGCCTCCTGTTTCAAATGTATGGTGTTGAGTGTTAGAGAAGACGGTGGAATGTTGCACTATGATATTATGGATGGAAAGAACAAAAGATTTACTGTGGTGCACAATGTAAATGACCATGAGGCCAAATGCAGTTGCAAGATGTTTGAGATGGTTGGACTGTTGTGTAAACACATATTTGTGGTCTTTAGAGACCTTGAAAAAATCCCTCTGAAGTACGTGGTTAATCGGTGGACTAAGGATGCATCTTTAAAAGCTACATTTGAAATAGATGGTGTCATTTATGATCAGAATGGACCAAAGGATGAAAAGAAGATGTTGCTGAACAAAGTGTGGTCTGATATACACTGTTGTATGGATCTGGCAGGTTCAAACATGGAGCGATTGGCTGCATTTTCCCAAGTGATTAATGAACAGAAACAGCTGCTACTGTCAGGAAAGGAGAAATTGTCCCCTCAGCACAACAGGAGGATTGTTATAGAATCATATTGTGGATCAACAGAAATTTCAGAGATCAACATACTTCCACCGAAACATGCAAAGAACAAGGGCAGCGGCAAGCGTATCAAAAGCAGCAAGGAGTTGGCAATGGAAAAAGAAGAGGGCAGGAGGTGCAATTTTTGTGGTGTTAGAGGAGATCACCATGACACCAGGACTTGCCCACTTAACCCCAAAAATAAGGACAAGCAAAAGGGTAAGAAAAAGGCATAGCAGACTATCTTTTCAACGCCTTTACAGTCGAGAACGAAAATAGATAGCAAATATGAAACACAAATACTTAGTTAACTCATTTCAGAACGCTTTTTACAGTTGAGATACTTGAATTTAATGTCCAGCTATTACTAGTTTTTGTTTTTATCACTGATTTGTGTTTAACAATCACTGCTACTAGCTTAAAGTGCGTGTTTTTACTACTTTACCTGCGTGTAGTTAATTCTTAATATGCATTGATTACACTTTTAACGTGTGCTACATTAAAGCTTAATATGCATAATACAGAAACAGAATGTGCGTTGGTTTATGTATAGAATCTTTGGTCCATGGTAAATGCCAACGTCTTTACATGCGTCGATTAACATTTAACTTGCGCGACATTAAAGCTTAATATGCGTACAAAGGCAATATTTAACACTTTCTTTCTCTAATATGCGTTTAATTATTAGTTAATATACGACGCGTTAAAGATAAGTCTAATATGCGCGACTGCAAAACTTAAAGTGCGTTTATTTGATTATGAAATAATTTGCAGACAAAAATGATACATACATAAACGATTGCACATATTTATTTCTTCTAGTACTTTGAAGACATTTCTTCTGGTTCCGGCAGCATCCGACATATCACCAGCCACCCACAAATGCTCAACTCTTAGCCTTTGGATGTTGTTTGGAAACTAGATGATGAGCTTGAAGCTGAGAATGACAAATGATCCTTCAGGTTTAGAATGTGTTGTTTTTGTAGTTAGTTACAATCACTACAAGCTGGAGGGCGAGGAAGATGAAAATGACAGAGAAGATGAGGAATAAATGATGAGGATTCTTCTGTACGTGCGGAAAAGTGAGAGATAGCCATTTCAATAACTTGATGCTCAGTTGTGTGTTGTTCCTTCTAATTTATATATAGGTGAATAACTTGGTCACATGCACTGATTTGAGATTTGAATGTTGCGTGATTTACAGACACATTAGATTTTTCAAGATATCCTCTAATGGGTGCGTTTTTTAAGGAATTGAATGACCATTCAATGTTATCCGTTTCCTCAACTACAAGTGCTCTTAAAGTTCTGACATTGAATATCTTTGAATATTACGTGAATTGGTATAAAAGACTTAATGTGCTTTGCTTTGCTCTGTTACATGCGCGAGCTACAATAACAACATGCGTGTAAATATAAATTTAATTAATTTGCATCGAAATAAGAGATTTTTTAAATCCAAAAGTTTAATGTGCGTCGGGAAACCAATTAAAGTGCGCGAAATATCATTATAAGATGCGTTTATTATATTTTATTAATAAATCCAAAAGTTCAATGTGCGTCGGGAAACCAATTAAAGTGCGCGAAATATCATTCTAAGATGCGTTTATTATATTTTATTAAAAAAAAAGCAAGTAAAATATAATAAAAAGATCAAGTCTTTATGGGGGTTCGATCCTGAGCGGAATCAGTTTAATAAAAAACTTCTTCCATTTCACCATTGGGCTCATCTATTACTTTAATTATAATATATTAATAATAACAACAATAGAGGCAGAGATGAGAGCTTGTATATGTATAAAAATGTAATGTGCGTTGGTTTATGTATAAAAACGTAATTATTCAGTCATTGCGTTGAAAATTAGTCTAGTATGCGCGATTGCAAAACTTAAAGTGCGTTTGTTTAATTATGAAATAATTTGCATATAAAATGACACATACATGCTTTGAATTTAACATGCGCGACATATCAATTTAAAATGCGTGATATTGGAACACAATGGTAATAAACAGTTTGGCAATCTCATAAAAACAGTAATTAAAACTTAGAAAATATCACAAAAACTAAAGTTGAATAATTATCACAGCACAGGATTATAAAATGTCAAAATAGTCAATAGGTCTGGACAGTAACAGAGTCACAACATTCACAAACAACCATTTGCAATACTACATTTTTTCCTTTCTAATCTCTGATTCCTTCAACTTCTTCATACTTTTGGATGATGAACACTCATCCAAAAGTGACCTTTTAATAGCTCCAGAGTTGTCAGCATTGTCATCTCCTTCCTTTTGTGAGGGGTGGACAGATGCAGGACTATTAACCTCCACTCCACTAGAGTCTTCCTGTTATTAACAAAAGGAGTAAACCAAATTAGTCACCCTCATAATAAAAAAAAAAACATTTTTAAGACGGTTGGTTTGAAATTCTTACTTCAGAATTTGCATCAGTGTTAGTTTCCTCCTCAATCAGCGTAGACATTAAGTCCTGGTCTTGATGCTCCACAAACCTGTCAATATAAAGTTTTCAGCATGTGTTCTTCCTTGACCACCCTCACAACATTGAATGGATAATTGGGACCCCTCTTTAGAGCCAGCTTAAAATTGATCTTAAACAGCATCTTCATTCCAACTATAGCATCCAACTTAGGTGGCACTTCAACATCAACCTGTTTAGGTAGGTGATAAAATACTAAATTAGAAACTGCATTAAAAAGTATAGACTAAATTTTGTATAGGCAAAAAGAAAAATTTACCTCTTTGTATTTTGCATACAAAATCGAAGCAGGAATACCCACAAGTTCTGCCACTTCTCTATCCCAAAGCAATAGTGGAGCATCTCCACTTTTGTCAAGAGCAATTACAACAACTTTATATCTAACTATACCCATCATACAAGGCTTGTGACACTTAGTACAAATCAGTGATCCTTCCTGTTCTTTTAGTTTCTTATTACATCCCAGTGCCAGGCATGATAAATAGTACCAACCATCCTCAAACTCTAACCCCAAAATCTCAGCAGCCACATAGTATTCCCCATCCTATAGTATACACATCATTTTATAAGCAGATATAGCAATTAACCAAATCAGTGAACTAAAATAAAAGTAAGAAGAGCTAGCAGAGTGTGTGGATTACCTCTTTAACCTTCTTAAGATCATGGCAGTTAGTGACAATAACAGAAGCATTTTTAAACTCACTAATGCCTATAGAGTTTGAATGTAGGGTGCCAGTACTAAGACTTCTCATTGGAGTGTTTTCAGCTTTTAACCTTCATAAATATTAGAAACTTTTATACAATCTGAATGCACATACTTTTACTTGACTAAAACACAAAAACAAATGTGTTTAAACAACCTATTAGCCTTATTTACTTTGCTGAAAATAGCTATCAAATTTTATGATTAGTAGTTTGCTAAAGTTGGAAAAATATATACAGTGCACAACATGCTACTAAAGTCACAAATGTAGATTACAGTATATATAGAATTTTAGATAATATCTTTTTTTTTTCTAGAACACAGTAAACAGCAGTTAAAATAACAATTTTGTTTTTCTAAAATCTGTAATACATAATCGAGCATACATTATTACAGATGAATCTAACAAATAGGACAAATAAAAAAGATGAAATTACTTTGACCTAAACTCTTGGAATTCCTCAAAATCCTCATTGAACAA